CCCTTTAAATTCAAATTTTTACTTATATGGAAGGGCACATTGGTCTTTTGCCCTTTTTGAAATATCAGTTTTGTCTCTTATGGAAAATCATTCTGTCTTTCGTTGTCTTAGCCCATCCCATATTGGGTCTAATAGGCAGTTTGTCTCCCCCTCAAGAAAGAGGTTGTATCTACCTCCGAGTGGTTGCAAGTCAAAGATGAAGTGCCAACCTCCTTTCCGAATTTGAAAGATGAACTTAATTGATTGTATTTTTCCTTGAGGTTTAGGGTTTAGGAACGTCTTGTGCTTGTATAAAAGATGATTGAATCAGAGCTTTGATTGTTTGCTCCATAATTGAATCTCCTCTACTTTCATGTATTATTTTGGTCTCATCTTGTATGCCCAAATATCGGTTTATAAAAACTTCTAATTAATTTTTGTCTGGATGAATTGAGCTCACTTGCAAAGTCGTTGAATCAAGTTGATCAAAGTTTGTCTGCCGAAATGGCTAAATTGGATTCACTTGTTTAAGTGGCTGAATCAAGTCCGCACGCTGAAATAATTGATCCAACTTGTGTCCATCTTCGTCGGGAAGTTAATTTAAACGTATCTCTATGAAGATAGCAATTTAAGCTGTATATACCAACGAATAGTACATGAATCTACATCTTGTTCGGATTTTGCACATCTTTTTAATTAATCTATTTATTTATTAACTTTGAAGTGTTGGATGGTATGGATATTGATCATGAATGATTGAGCTTTGGAGTTCCAAATGGATGATTAGATTAGATATGCATATAGTTGAATAGGGTGACATCAATGATAATCTGTTTATAAAATCTTCATATAGACTGTCATAAATCTGGAAATTAATGCTTGAAATGCATGAGAAAGTTCCCTGCAATCTTGGCAACATAGCCATGTGGAGGCTTTCAGAAAAAACGTGGAAAGCAGCTCAGCACCAATAAAATAAAATAAAATAAAATAATAAAATGTGACGTTGTCTTAACTTGCAAGCTCTTCTTCTCGCCTGACTCGACCAAATGCTTTCTGCCTTCTGCGATCACCAACCCTGAAATAACTAATTAAAAAAAAACGCAATACAATTTATAAAATTATTTTTAATATATATCAATGAATATTTGATAATGCTTAATAAACTTATTAATAATAATAAAAAAATATTTGAAATGGTTGTATAAGAAAGGACAGAGGCTAATTCCTTGTGGTTGGGGGCAAAGGCCTCTGCTCCGTCCCTCATATTTGTTGTCGTCGAGTAGATGAACGTTACTAGCTTATTTTTCATTTTGGCTTCTACTGTGAAAGCTACAGTCCAGTCTGGCTATTTATTACAGGTTTATGATATGCACATTAATATCACATATATCATTTTTTTTAATGTGAAAATTAGTCAAGTATTAATATCTAAAAGCATTTCGAACTGATTCATTACCAAAATCTAAAAATATTAAAGCGTATATTGGACCAATGGCAAATTGTGGGATAGCTATGGTAAAGTATTCATACGGCTAATACTTGGAAAAAATTACGCACAAGTCTTGCCTATAATTATAATTAGAATAATGACTCAGTCAATATATTAGTCAATATTTTATTAAAAAATTTATAGGCACATTGGGTTGCCATTTTTCTACAAATTGAAATTTCTTTTAACTTTTATTAGTTTAAATGTGGGTGTTAGTTTAAATGCGCCTCATACCAGATTAGTTGGTCGGGCATCTGCTTGTCAGTTATAAGTCCACTATGGTCTGGGGTTCGATTTCCCTGGTGAAGGGTGTAGTACTCAAATTGTTAGGTGCATCGGGAATGGTCGTGGCTCATATAATAGCCTAAGACCATATATATATATATATCATTTATTTCTCACTCTTTATAATGAGTTTAGATAAAATTTTAGCCCAAAATCATATTGATTCTCTTATGTATGATTTAAGCTTAAATATTTATATTTATAACACCGGTGTTATAAAATATGCATGAAAATCATATTGATTCTTTTAGGGTACACACTATTTTATTTATACTTTTTTTTCAAAAAAAAAAAAAAGAAGAAGAAGAAGAACCAGTGCTGGATTGGACAGTGAAGTGAGGCATCTTTTGGATTGATTAAAGTAGCTTGTATGCATGTGTTATTTCTACATACTGAGCAATATTTTAATTGGATGGATTTTATATATTTTAATTGATTGTTTGATTTTTAATAGCGGATTTACCTTGGCCATCAAATATCAATAATTACGCGTCATAGGATCTGACCGGAATGTCCATTGCTTCATTTATGGCAGCTTCTTTAAAGTCTTATGATAAAAAATAAAAAAATAAAATACAATTTCTATCTGAATGAAAAAAAAAGATACATTTTTAAATTTTAAATAATTTATTTCAAAATAATTATACTCTCATTCCAAATAAAATATATGATCGAAAAAAGAATTTTTAAAATTCTCAAAAAAAATTTAAAAAAATGGAAAACAAATAATCAAAATGATTTTAAAATCTTTTTTCTTATATATGAGTAATGAAACAATCCTAATATTTAAGACAACTCACGTGCCAGCAAAAATTGGATTAATGCCTTCAACACCGAAGCTCTCAGCACTGGCACGCTTCCCAAACGCGTGTCGGCTTACGGCGGCATTGACCAATTTGACCTCCTAAACCCACCGGGCGGCCCTCCGATTTTGAAAATGAATTTCTAAACGCTCCAGCAGTGTTTCCGTTACCTCATTCTCGAAAAAACTGAAGGGGTCAAAAGTTGCAATCCTGGCCGTGGATTTCCCGCCCTACGAGCCGTCCGATTCGATATTAAAGTCCACTGTCCTGACGGCTCAGGTCAGCCGAAAACTTCAACCGCTTGAATCGGACGGCTATCAAAATGATAAATGATCTAAGATTTAATAAGAATCGCCTACGTTGTTTTAAACGGCAATCCTCAATGATCTAAGGGTTCTCAAAATTTTTCTTAGATGTACTAAAACTAATCATTATTGGTTACAGACTAAATTTGCCTATCGTGTGCAATTTGTTAATTACAAAAGTATAGGGAAATTTTTTTTGCATTCATATTTTAATTCGAATCACATATATTATAATTTATCATTATTTATTAAAAAATTTTAATGTGTTAATAATTAAATTAAAATGTAATGCACAACTTCACTTATTTAAAAGTATGTGATATCAAGATTAGTAGTAGACTGGATTCATTCAGTCTTTGGGAAGGGCATTGATGTAATTAGTGACATATGAAGGGGGAAGTAAAATTTGCTGATAACAATTTTTAATATTATTAAAAAAAATTATAGATATAAAATTTTAGCTGTGAAATATAGAAATGGGATATTTTAAAATTTATGAAAATAATTTTAATTTTTAAATAGTATTACTGTTTATTGCTCCCGTAGTCTCGTGGGTCGACAGAACGAGAAGGCGTCGCTTTTCTTCTCTGCCCTTTATTGGAACCGAGCGCAAGAAGAGGGGAAAGAAAAGGAGCCGTTCCTCTCTTGGTCTCTCTCCTTCTGCTGGCCTCTAGAAGCAGGCAACCGGCCAATTTCAAGCCTTCCAGTCTCTATGAAATCGCTGGAAAGGTATTACAAGTAAGATTGCAGGAGGAAGAAGGGAGATTCGTAGAGGTCTCTGAGGAAAGGGACTCCATCTCATCTCAGATCAGTTCCTTTCGATCGATCGAACAGAGCGGGGAGTTCAAGGAGAAGTAGGGCTTTTTTTTGAAGGATTTTTGTAGATGATATGATATGGAAGTGGATGCCGCTGATTAATATGATGTTTTATCTAGGGCGCGAAGCTTCCAAGGTCCTTTTTTTTCTCTAAAAAAATTAATTTTTTTTTTCATTTTTCTTTACCCTTTTTTTATTATCAACGGATCCATTGATCTTCGTTGCACAATCTATTGAGTGCAATTTCTTATATTTCGTTGCAGCTATGGAAGAAAATTTGTATGGAGACTTTTGTGGAGCTACAACTTCTGGCGGAGAAGTGGACGTTCCTATTGGCCGGTCTCCTATTTCAGGTACAATTTTGGAGTTTCAGTTGATGTTTATTGTTAAATTCCAGTGGAGAAAGTATTGGTGAGGGCTTTTTCGGGGAGATCTCTTTAATTTTTCCATTAAGACTTTTTTGTTGGTGGAGTTACCCAAGGCTTTTCATATATCTATGTCTTTGCTTGCACTTCTTAATTTCGATTTGTTGAGGCCTGTATTTGGTTTTCTTGCCAAAGGGCCTATGATCCATCGCCCACAGGACAGGGGAGGGGGTAGCTGAGAAGCATTTATTTTTATTTACAATGGCACTTTTGTAAATTCTGGCTGCAGGATGTACTTGTTTAGGTGTTCATTTTTAGCAGTAAAGTTCATTCTTTTTTTTGCTGTCAGTATAACGGTCATTTCTCAAGAGAAATTTTTTTTTAAGAAAAAAATTCATTTTTACTGTATTTGCAGTTGTTTATCAGTACAACTCTCATCTTTTTGCATTCATCATATCTATCAGGTAGTTCATCTTTGGTGAAGTAGATGGTGCTTGGTTAGCCTAATAAAGCAACTAAATAATGTATGCTTCTGAACAACCAGCCATAGTGTTTGGTCATGCCATGCGAAATGAGCAGTAACACTTTTGAAATCTTTGTGGTTTTTTAAACAATATTCTTTCTATCTTTTTCTTTTACCCTGCCGTCTTGGGGATATCATAGACCATAGTGTTTGGTCTCGCCTTATCAATAGAAGGAGCAACTCCTTAATTTCTCCGTTTAATGCTACCAGTTTTCTAATTGAATGCTGATTTACTTGTTTCTATTCACATTCTCAATTAGGTTGATTATTTCTTCAAGATCCATCAATTAAATTAAATAGTTTATTTTAAATTTTATACTAAATTTTTTCTGTTCTGTTTTCAGTATATCCACGGTTTGGCTGCTAGAGGTGTGCATTATTTACATCGGCCTGGACCAGTTCTTCATGATCTTGGGTTTGTCTTTTTGCCGGCAAGTATCTTCTAAAATGAAATCATGAAATTAATTCAGTATTTGAGGCAAATTCTCACATTCTCATATTTGTGCGTCTTACATTCTTCAGGAGCTTGGAGTGCAAAGAGCTTACCTTAGCGAGACCCTTTTCTCCATCATATTTTTCTCCTTTGTTTTGGTATGTTATCTTATTCCTCACGTAGTTTCTTTCTGAGAAGATTTTGGTTTCACCCATTTGCTTTTATCATTTCTTTGAGCTAATGATCAGTTTATTTCAATGTAAGGATGATCTTATTTTGCTACTCAAAAAGTTGTATGTTTATATTTGATGATATGGTAGGACATCAAATAATTTCAATGTAAGGATTGATATGCTAAAGTGATAATTTGATTGGTAGGACATTCTAAAATTACTCTAACTTCTTGTTTCAATTAAATATAGAATGCTTTGTATAACCTTATTTTCATCTTTCCATGGCGTCTCTTAACAGCAAACAAATCCTGAATACTATGTATAGCCTTATGTACAATGGTTGTGAGATATCTTTTCCTTATTATGAACTTCTGGCTTACTACAGAGGACATGTTTTAGCTGAGTTGTGTTTATCTCCTCTTTCTTTTGAATGTGCATTTGCCAGTGTCTTTAATCTACCTGGTCCTTTTTTCTGCTTTTTAATGATTATGACCATTGTGAAAGATATGAATCTGAATATATATATATATATATAT